TCAGAAAACTTGTAAAATCTTTGAACGCCGTTTTCTCATTTCCAGTTTTTTACAGATGGGACTGACTTGCGATTATGGGCAGCGCAGTTCCGATGACAGTGTTATAGAATGAACGGAAAGATTCAATATTACCGTCCTTCACAGAATCCAAGTTTCTGTTAGACACCACCCTGTGCGCCCAAAATCTTCATTATCAGTCCAACGTTTTCAGGATCAGATAGCAAGGACTCCACAGTTCTACGAGCTTTACCCTGCAAAGCGTTGTTCAGATTATCGCTGTCGGTCAGCTTACACTCAGTAGTGGACGTCTTGAACTCATTTTCGAAGATTAGCCTCGTTAGCTTCTACGTCAGGCTGGACATTTTCAGGACGATACTTGAAATCACCTATTGGATACTCGTTTGCATTCACCCAGTCTTGAATACGGTGCATGGAATTACAATTGACGCACCAGAACGGGATCGCTGAGAAGCGTGCAAGTTTCTCTTCCACAAATTCATCAACGAGCTCCAAGGCTCTGATTTCGTTTTGTGCTTTGCTAACTGATGATATCCTGCTTCTATGCGAACGTTTGCTAGCACCGCTTATAGAAACGCGACTTCTCAACGATGCTGGGACCGAGTTTGCATTACCAGCTTCATTTTGTTCTTTCGTAGTTCGATTCAGGGACAGGACGAGACTCCTCAGATAACACCTGACCGGAGTACGTTGCATTATGTCTTTTCGCTCAAGGTTTGTAATCTGGTAATAGTAGTTTGCAAGATTTTTTGGGACTGTACCTGCGTTACACCGTTGAGGTCGAATTTAGGTAGTTCGTTTTCGAAGGACCAATGTTTCAGGCGGCTGGTTCGGAATCACACCGACAGTTTGCTCACCTGAGGACGTGACTGAAACTTCTGCGCACAAATTACCGTAGGAACTCTTCTTTGTAAAGGTTCTTGAAAGGAATACTGGTTGCTTATTTATCTTGTAAATGGAGAATCAAATACAGCGATAATTATCGGATGACGGATGTTATTGAACTTTAATCAACAGTGGTTGTTAGGATAATGAAAATTTTTGATTGAAGTCTTCCTCATGGCTTACTAGTTTCCAACACCATCCGACGATTGTTCTATCTTCTGCGTTGGAAGGAATAGTTGCTGTACCTTTTTTGTTGCTCTGGTAGCGTTCTTTCGCTCGGTCTTCCAGAGTACTTCGACGGATTGACGTTGGTTCATGTAACCCGTAATTAGCTGCTCAGGGTCCGAGATGCGGGAAACTTCTCGATCGTAGAACTCGTTCAGGTGCATAGATATCGAATTCAGCCAAAATCCCGGGAGAGTCGATTTCGCTTATCAGTTAATCTTCCGCCTACGATCAAGAGTTTCAATATCCAGGAGTTGACAACGATCTTCGTATGGTGGAAGTTTCATTGGATCAATCCAAGGAAGGTGGCGAAGAGCGTAACGAACGATGTTCCACTGAACAGACTCGATCCTCGCTGTCCAAACTGTTTCATAGGGGCACCATACTACCAAATCAAATTCCAAGGTATTTGATAGCAAACGCTCCTATAGTAGCGGTACGTTAGAAGCGTTAGGTTCCTATAGTTGTGTATTGAGTCTCCATGCACAACTATAGGAACCTAACGCCTCTAACGTATCGTTACTATAGGAGCGTTTCCCCTATTTATTTAATTTCTGCATCAACAGGCTCGTGGCCCCAATGATGGTTATAGCGAATTTGTTTTTGATTCCGTTCCAACCTGGATCGCAATAGCTCACGTGACATGTGAAAGTCAAACAAAGATGCAACTCTGTTGAATAATCTTTGAAGACCGGTGATAGCGCTATGCATGCCATAGTTAGTTCTAATAAGGGGAAAGCGAAGCATCTGATTGTTTCGCAAGGACCTAGGCTGCACATTGATGTTCATTTGTTCCAATACAGCTCGGCAATCAACTCGATTCTGCAGAACGTCAGCAACAAACATAGCTCTTCGAGTGTCGCGACGAGTGTTGAGAGGTTCTAGGTGTATTAGTGAACAACGGATCACGCCATGGTAATCGTCGGAGAATGAATCTGCGTTGAACTGACTCCATTCGCTTAACTGCATTATTCTAAAAAGGGTTCCAAACAGCTGCACCATATTCTAATGTAGATCTTACTAGGGAACAGTATGACAATTTAAGGCAGTACTCGTCAGTGAAATCCTTAGCTTTCCTCAAGAAAAACCCCAAAGATCTGGAGGCTTTGTCTACTATGAATTAAATGTGAGTCCAACATAATACCCTGGTCCTTCACGTGACTTACTTGTTCAATTGAAATTCCCAGGATTGTGCACTTGTTACTGTCATGCGGTTCAAGTCACACCAGTCACTGAATCTATCAATCTGATTTTGTAGTAACATAGCGTCAGCATGCGTTTGAATCTTGAGAAAAATCTTAAGATAATCAGCGAATGACAAACGAGGTGTCTCTAGCACAATGTTCACATCAGTTGAAATAAATTGGCCCGAGGTGACTTCCTTGAGGAATACGTTGCTGGGAAAGCGATCGAATTGCAATCCTAAATAGATACACGATAATATACGACTGGAACCAAGGTAGTAGCCGTTCCAATTTAGCGATGGTGATGGCGTTATTGATCTTGTCAAATGCTGCTGGTAGGTCGGTTTAGATTGCATCAGTCTGATGTCGCTCAACTAGGCTTCTCGTCACGTACGAGGTCAAGCGTAGCAGGTTAGTAGTCCTTGATCGGTTGGAAACGAATCCGTGTTGGTCTAACAGAGGCTCCATAACGCACAGCGAGGTGATTCCACGGTAGTTGTCTACATCCTTCCTGTTCCCTTTCTGATGAACTGGATACATTTGTGCGTTCTTCATAGAGGCTTCAGTAATCGATGAGAGCTTCATCGATTGGGATTTCGTTCAGTACGTGATTGTAGACGGGTACGTTCATTCACGTACTTCCAAAAATTCCGTGGATTTACTTGAATTCACGCTGCAGGTTCTGCTGATAGTGGGAAACCCTAATAAAATTTGTATGATTATTTGGCTTAATGACGTGTTCATTTGGGTTATCGTTCATGTATGGTACTTTGTTATTAGGAAAAGGTTTCCAGTGTTGCCTTTTTACCAACCGTCTTAACGCAGCTCTCTTGATGGATTTCATCTTACGAAGATTCTTCGTTTGCAACGGATGACGATCTCGATCTCGATGCACTGTTTTAGGCACATGCCTATCGATTAAATATGACAGAACATTAGCAAAAGTCCGTACAGTAATTTCCACGTCGGTGCTATCGAACACAGCTTTCCAATCGATGCTTGATAAGACCTCAGCGATACCATAGAGGTAACTCTAAGACCACTGGGTCCGAAGAAAATCATTATTATTTTTGGCTCACTCAGTACCAGAACAACGGTCCCAAGCAGTCCCAAGCTATTTCACTCACCCCTGCATTTTCTGCATGAATCCACACACCCCTGATGTTATCTGTCAAACTTTCATAGTGAATCAAAACAAACATAGTGTAGTAATAGAATTTCAACTAGAATAGGGTACGTTAATCGTTTGCTTGGGACCAATAGGCTACTAAAGTGGTGAGCCAATTTAAAATCGTTAGTTTCGTATTGATTGTTGGCGATACCCTCTTAGAGCGAAACTATGGAACTGGTGCAGCAGATAATGGAGGGGCCACATTCACGTTCACTGATAAGTCATTTTGAATGACGTGGATTTTGTCTGTTCTCTTGTGATTTTTCGGAAAAAAAATTCTTTTTTCTGTGTCACTGTAATTGAACATTTGGATTCTATAGTTGATAACCTGAAGTGAAATGTTCAAATCTTGAATCATGTATCTGAGAACAAGTGATGTCCACTTGGCTGGCCTTGCAATGTTGGTATAAACGGTGGATCGGAATAACCGATTTCTGTCGGATTGACGTGAACCGTTGGTTTTACATTTCTCGTCTAGAAAAGTGCATCATGCGTTACGCTAACATGCCTTTTATATCGCCTTATATCTGGAAACGAAATGGCTGGTGTACATGCCGTACACTTGTAGGTGAAGGTGGATGGCATTCCATGGAAGGATTCCAAAAGATTTTGTTGGATTGAAAATGACCCCGTGCACAGAAAGCATTTAATTGTTCACGGCTTTCCAGATGTGTAACCAACTGCAATATTTGGGTATTTCTTGATTTGTTGGTGTCAATATTATAAAAAATATCTGCTGATGAATGCCCAGAACAACTCACAGTGCATTAACTCTCGACGAGAATGGTATGCCAGCCGTTACATATTCCTCTCGAAGTGAGTCTAACGATTCTTCGAAATCCTCTTGTGTTTCACAAACAAAGCAGGTATTAAGCTGAGCCTGCAGTATCGTCGGCAGTTTCTTAGCAGATGTTATTACAGGCTTGATAACGCCATGAAAAACAGAGCATAGGACAAAATCTCGTGTATCTAGAATAGAAATAGATATTTAAGGAAACCTATATTATAGAAACGTATGTTTTTTTTTAAATATTTCATACTAAGAGATTGTATGTATTATTTATTGCATTACTTACCTTGTGTAAAGTTTGCTCCTTCCAATAAGCTCAGCAAATGAAGCGAATAGTCGTATCTGAGGTGACTCAACTCTGCACGCCTTAATCTGTGCCGAAAGATTTAGCTTTACCGAAAGCTATGCCGAATGAGCCAAAATCAGTCAATCAAGGCGTCAATATTCCATGCGTTTGGCAACCCTGTGCCTTGTTTATGTTTACATTGCTCAGTGATCAATTACACCCTGCTGAACAATTTGAACCCGTTCCTCGGTACTAGAACTTTACAATGCCATCTGAATTCATGAGGTAGATTCAATCGTGTACTTCTAAAATAAAACCATCATCTCGTGTATATTTTTCTCTCTCATTCTCCAAATATCCGAAACCCCCAAACGGGCTTCGAACATCGCCAAATAACTATACTTAACGCCCACGCTTCCCCTTTTCCCACTCTACTTGCAGAGAGTTTGTCTACCAGCCGGTCTGGCAACAGCAACACATCAACGGACTCGGACTAGCAACGAAGGATCATCAGCTCTTTAATATTAGGCCATAACCTACTTTTATCTGTACCCATTGACGGTATCAAACCTAACAAATTATGCGCTAAGATTAGCTAGTTGTGGGCGAAGAAGAAGGTGGTGCATTTTTTCGCACCACTTCCTAGCCATTTACTAACCCCAGAGTGAAGGCAAACGTAGAGTAGTTGGTACCTAGTAGCGTTCGCGGGAGAGTTTGAAAACTTTCTTCCCAGTGTCTTCCCCTATACCTTAACAAAAAATGATTATTTGTTATGTCGATCAAAAAAAAAAAAAACCGGTGTGATCCCAATTGTTAACCATGTGCTAGATCGTTTTCAAGTCGAATCTAAATGTCGAATAATCTCGTTGTTTCTTGTTCCTATGAAATTGCACGCTTCTTGTCTTTCTTTTTTGTCTGTTTAACTGCCATGATTTCGGTGCAATTATCGTCTAGCTCGGTGACTTGATTGGCCATTTGATCGATTTTTATGACCGTCAATTCTCCCTACCACGATTTGTAAGCTTTTTCATGGATTTTTTTTATCTTTCTCAAATTGATCCCTTAAAATATCTGGTCTGGGGAGAGTTGACTGCATTATGATCAGTGTTCGGAAAATCATTCTCCCTGAGAGAATAAACTCGCGTGCGAATCTGGCAAACAAATCTCACACTCACAACAACAACAAATCATTTCAGCTTGACACCGCTCAAACGTCAATTGACAGCATGCTCACCGCAGTAATAACAATGAAAATTCATCGGCGATTTTTGCGTAGTTGAATTTTGCAAGGCGAATAAACTCACGCAATAGAATTGAGTTTTTCCGAACACTGATTATGATTGTAAGATTGTAAGCGACACGTGCGTACCTTAAGTTTTTTTCGTTTACTAAATTAGGAGTCTAAGATTTCAAAGCTAGGTTTAATTTTCTAAAAACAATAAATCGTTACAAACAACATATTGCTAGAAGAGAAGCAGAAGGTGATAATGATAAATATTTTATATATATTTTTTTTTATATTAAAATAGTAAGAATAATAATTCAACATTGAAAAGAAATTACTCAATCAAAACATTAAAATATAACAAAATGAAGAAGATGACTACATTTTAAAAGTTTCGAAGACAAGCCCTGATTATCTGATGTTCGTACTTTGTAGCCGCCAAAAGTCGGCTAGACAAAATTGGTCTACTATGGCGTTCCATGATGATGCATGATAGTGGTTTACCACCCATTGTAGCACGGAAACTAAGTCCGACAACAGTGAGCTCTCTTCTCTGTTTGTTTTGATCAAGCTTAATAACCTCTGATTGTCCTCAACATGTCGCTGTATGAAGGGCCAAAAACGGATTGGGTAGATCGATAGGCAAAGTCGTCTATACGCATCTACGGAACAAGAGAATCTCCTTCCAGCAACTTGATCAGCCAATTGGTCAAAAAGACAAGCCCCCAAACAGGAAAATGCCCCAATGAGTGGGAAGAAGAGCCCGCCCTCTATCCACGAAATGTTATCAACAGGGAGTTGGCATTCCCACTCTCCCCGTCCAAATCGCTTCAATCGTCCCTTCCCTTTTATTTATGTGTTTCAATGTATATACGAGTTGATTGTAATGATTATTGTCAATAATACTTACATTTCGATGAAAATCGTGATACTTATCATTACAGAAACCAATTTTGAATCGTAGACCATGTCGTTCAACAATCCACTCGTTCCGAGACGGGGCTCTGTGATAAAGCCATCTTCTTCATCATGTTCGCTCGTCACCCGGAATGCATGCAAATGAAAAAGAGATACAACCAGGATTAGTTTTTTTTTCGCAATAGTGCTTGTTACACATTCTCTGTCTTATCCTTTTTTCTTCCATTGTTTATAATTTCCTTTTCCTCGATCTTCTTCCTCTGTCGATACACCATCTGAAATTTTACTATCCTCATTATTATAAATGTCTTCCACTTTCTTTTTTAATTTTTCTTTGTCCTTAGCTAGTTCTTCCCATTCTTCTATATTAAGTTCTTCATATCTATCAAAGTCCTGATTTAATGATTTCCTCCAAGTAAGGCTTGGTCTACCCTCTTTTTTCTTGTTGAAAATTGGTCTATTATGGCGTTCCATCCCTAAAAAAACGAAGGGGACCAACGGCTTTACTTCCCTTCCGAAGGAAGACATGGCCAGAGATTTTTATGCCGCAAAAAAATCCCACTGACCTCGACTGGGATTGAACCCAGATCCATTGGCCTTGTTGTCCTCTGCTGTCCGAAGAAGTCGTCTCCACTATACTCGATCCCAGGCCACACTTCGCCAGCCTCGTAGTCTGCGAAGGGTCCACAGTTCACCTACTACTTGGTCGATCCACCTTGCCCGCTGCGCGCCTTTCCGTCTTGTTCCTGTTGGGTCGCTTTCTAGAACCATTTTCACTGGGTCGTCGTGCGGCATTCTTACGACGTGCCCAGCCCACCGTAGTCGCCCAATTTTTGCAATGTGGACGATGGATGGTTCTCCCTGGTGCAATTCGTGGTTCATTCGCCTCCTTCGCGTTCCGTCATCCATCTGCACTCCACCGTAGATGGTACGCAACACCTTCCGTTCGAAAACACCAAGGGCCGCGTTGGTCCTCCACGAGCATAGTCCAGGTCTTGTGGCCGTAGAGGACCACCGGTCTAATCAGCGTCTTGTACACAGTCAACTTCGTGCGGCGGCGAATTTTAATCGACGGGAGCGTCCTCCGGAGTCCAAAGTAGGCACGATTCCCTGCCATAATGCGTCTTTGAATTTCTCTGTTGGTATCATTTTCGGCGGTCACCAGTGAGCTCAAATACACGAACTCATCGACCACCTCGATTTTATTTATTTATTTATGTCGTCAATCAATCGTAGACCAATTACAATGAATGCTTATTAACTATGTCTTAAATATTATTGCCTGGCTAACCTTGAAAAGAATGCTTTTTTAGTGTTATTTTATTCATTGTTACATCAATTGATTGGGAATATGCGTTATAGCAGGTCATAATTCTATTTAAAGGCCCATTTTTAGCATAGTTTGTTCTTTGATTGTTAATGTAAAACAAATTCCTAATCCTCAGAGAGCGAGTGGGAGCATAAAAATTTATATTTTCTAAAATTTCCGGAACATTAACTCTTTGAGCAATAACATCGTTTATAAATGTTACCATGGCAAAGTCTCTTCGTTTTTTCAGTCCATCTAAACTTATTAACAAACATCGCGATTCATAAGATGGAAGTGGTAATCTCGTCCAACCTAATTTTCGAAGGGCAAACAACAAAAACTGTTTTTGAACAGACTCAATGCGGTTTATATATGTATCCTGATACGGAGCCCACACTACGCTACAGTATTCAAGAAGAGGTCTCACATAGGCCACATACAATGTTTTAATAGTGTAAGGATCATTGAAGTGCAGACTAAATCTTTTGATAAACCCTAGCATGTTACTTGCTTTATATATAATGTTATTGTAGTGATCAACAAATGACAACTTAGAGTCGAGAATAATGCCTAAGTCCCTTACTTGATTACACCTTTCAACTGTTTTCTCACCAAGGGAAATTGTGTCATTTACTATGGCATGCTTTCTTGTAAACGATATAGAATTACATTTACTAACGTTAATCTCTAACAAATTCTTCTTACACCAAGTGTAAAAAATGTCAACTTCTTGCTGAAATAGCTGCATATCAGATGCTTTAGATATTTCCATGAAAAGTTTCATGTCGTCTGCATATATTGAAACATGAAGCAGCTTCAAAATGTATTCTATATCATTGACAAATAAGATGAATAGTAGTGGACCAAGATGCGAACCTTGTGGCACACCAGATGTTACATGAACGACAGACGACAATTTTCCTTCAAATCTTACTCTTTGCGTTCTCCTTGACAAGTATGACTCGATCCATTGCAGTAGCCTGGTATTAAAACCTAACTTGGACAACTTGAAAATCAACAATGGTATATCCACTCAATGCTTTACTAAAATCAGTATATAATGTTTCTACGTAATATCCCTTATCCATTACATTTATAGCATATGTTACAAAATGTATCAATTAGTGGCTGTAGATCGACCTTTAACAAATCCATGTTGTTTACTAGTAATGAGAGATTTAACTTGGGAAAATATGTTGGCATTAATGATGGACTCGAAAAGTTTAGGAATAGTAGATAATATAGCAATCCCGCGATGGTTTGTGATATCCAATTTTTTCCCGTTTTTAAAAATAGGGATTAAGAAAGATTCCTTCCAAATTGGAGGCAGCATACTGGCGTTTAACGATGAATTAAACAACCAAAATAAAGGCTTTACTAATTCATTTGAAAGTGTTTTTAGAAGAATAGGTGGTAAACCATCTGGACCAGCGCCTTTTGACGTATCCAAGGACTCAAGAGCATGCAAGATTTCTTTGAGGGATAAATTGTTAACTGTAATATCCGTCATTGGCTCCGGAAGGTATGAAAAATATTCATAATCGCGATCATTCTCGTCATGAGTTGTGCAAATGTTCTGAAAAAAGTCCGCAAATAAATTACTGATCTCACCAGATGTGTTCCCGGTTCTGTTATCTAACTGCATTTTAGAAGGAAAGTTCTTCGATTTTTGTCTCTCTTTAACATAGTTAAAAAATGATTTTGGATCTGTTTTAATATTATTTTCTACCTTGGTATTATGTTCTTCATATGTATTTTTCATTTCTTCATTCAGTTGATCGCAGACTTCTAGATAAAATGTAAGATTTTCTTCACTATGTTTTCTTTTATAAATCTTATGTGCTTTCTGTTTCCTATTTTTAAGATTGATAACCTTTTTATTGTACCAAACTGGTGTCTTGGACTTTGTGGGTTTCCTCTGCTTCAAGGGTACCGTCTGTTGCAGAATTTTATAAATAATTTGATAAAATGTGTCCACTGCCTGTTCTATGTCAAGATTACGTATTGTAGTTTGCCAGTCAATACAGGCTAATTTTTCTTTGAGAAGTACATAGTTTTCTTTATGAAAGTCGAAGTATGTTTCAGATAAATTGTTATCCAACGTTACCGTTTTTTTCATGTATGAATATGGAGTATTCAATAGCAGTGTGGAACACTTCGTTTTTCCAAAGAGGGGTGGGTGACACTGATACCCAGAAATCATCAGTCATATTAGTGAATAACAAATCTAAGTAGCAGTTATTTTGATTTTTTATGTGATTTATTTGGTTGAGTCCAATTTCTGCACTGTTGTCGAACAGAGTACGAAGTGTTTCATTTTCTCCTATAATCGGTATCAACAAAGATTCGTTGTCGTCATCAACAATAAAATTCACTGAGCGTTGGTTAAAATCTCCGTATATGTGAACATTTGCTTCCGCCTCACATTTCGAAATAATATTTTCAGCTAGTTTAAAATTTTTTTTCGTATGAATCTTGCTTTGCATATTCTGGAGGAAAATATACTGTCGCAAAAATATGAACTTGATCTCCAATGAAACATTTGACCCAAACGTGATCAAACTCCTTACACTTACAAGATGATATTTGTTCAGATTCATAGTCAACACTAACTGCTACTATGACACCACCACCACTTTTTTTGTTGGATAACGTTTTATCACGATCATCCCTAAAAACATTGAATCGATCACCGAAAACTTCTTCGTTCTTTACTCCAGCATCCCAGCTGGTTTCCATTGCTAAAATTGCATGAAAATTGCATGCTGATACTTGTTTATAAATTTCGTTCACTTTAAAAGCACTTTTCATTCTATTAAAATTTTGGCAATAGACGAGTAGCTCCTTGCTTTCATTTGTACATTGCGATGTTGTATTCCCTGAACACTTAAAACTATTAAAATTAATTACCTCTTCTTCTTGGTCCTGAGAGGTCGTCAAATCTTGAAAATCGGCCGGTTCTGCAACACTGTTGTCATCTACTTCCTCTGGAGAGAGCGTCAATTTCGACGAAAACACGAATGTCTACATAGACAC